TTACATTGACTCTTACCGTGCAACACACTTCCCACACATTTTTTTGTTTAAATGTTACAATAGGCTGGCCCATTGGTGTGGCAGCTCACACCTGTAATCCCAGCACTCTGGGAGGCCAAGGGGGGGTCGGTTACCCGAGCTCGGGAATTGGAGATCAGCCTGAGCAAGTGACACCCCTGTCTCTACTAAAATTAGAAAAACTAGCACACCCCTGTAATTCCAGCTACTCTGGAGGCTGAGGCAGGAGGACCTCTTGAGAGGAAGAGTTTGACGTTACAGAACTTACACAGAATGTAAATTCCTAAAATGAAGATCACCGTACATGTACATGAATTTTTCATTTCCCCAATAATAATACCTTCAATTTTTCTTTAATGTGGATTATTAATGGAGACAAGAAGAAAACATTAAATCATTACAATGGCTTCTAACCTGCAATAGAGCTGATTCATTAGAATGTCACTATTTTACTTCAGAGTTATTATCTTCATAGATCTGTTAGCCCATCATAATTAAAAATTATCTTTTTAACATGCTATGTGTCAGTACTGCCTCATAGGTGTTCTGAACCAAGGAAGCCTTGTTAAGAATTCTAGCATTTCTCACTTTTCACAAGATGGCACCAAAGTGAAGAAGTAAGCTCCTGCCCCTCCCAAAGCCAAAGCCAAAGCAAAGGCATTGAAGGCCAAGAAGGCAGTGCTAAAAGGCATCCACAGCCACAAAAAAAAGAAGATCCGACATCACCCACCTTCCGGCAGCCAAAGACTCTGAGGCTCCAGAGGCAGCCCAAATATCCTCAGAAGAGCACCCCCAGGAGAAACAAGCTTGACACTATGCCATCATCAAGTTCCCCCTGACCACTGAGTCTGCCATGAAGAGGATAGAAGACAACAACACACTTGTGTTCATTGTGGATGTCAAAGCCAACAAGCACCAGATCAAACAGGCTGTGAAGAAGCTTTATGACATTGATGTGGCCAAGGTCAACACCCTGATCAGGCCCGATGGTGAGAAGAAGGCATATGTTTGACTGGCTCCTGATTATGATGCTTTGGATGTTGCCATCAAAATTGGGATCATCTAACCCAAGTCCAGCTGGCTAATTCTAAATATATAACTTTTCACCATAAAAAAAGAAAAAAAGAATTCTAGCATTTCTCAATTTCAATCATTAAAACATTGAAAAAATGATAAGAATTGTCATGCTTTGAGAATTTTAAGAAACTTAGTGATTCCAGATGCCCCACCCACTCCACAGGGAAATACCAGTGATATGAGCAATACTTTTACTCAGGTTCAAGAGTCAAGATTTATCACTGCCCCACTCACTGCAATGTGCATTTACAAAGTAGGAACATTCCTAGGGGTCCAGGTACAGTGCTGGAGCCTGTGATGCCTGGACTGCAGCAGGTTAAGGCGTGAGTGGGTGGCACAGCCTTCATCCTTGATTTAACCATCAGATCTCCAGTTTATCCGTTTAATACAGACAAAAAGCACAGCACCCCCCCCCATTTTTTTAAATAGAATTTCATGGTTTTAAAAGTTTAAAAGTGATTCTTATAAGAAATCCCAGGGAAACATAACTGTCCATTAATTCCATCTTGCCATCAACAGTGGAATCTGTGCCTCTGCCAGAGTGATCTTTGCAGGGTAGAAATTAGATCTGTGTCAACCAAGCCTCAGACCCTGACCTTGTGGGCCAATTTATTTCTCCATCCTGGTTTCTCCTGGTCCCTCCTTGAACTTTCAGCTTCAGTCAGCTGAGCATCTCTTAGAGCTGCGGAGACACCATGATCACGTGTCAGCCTCCGTTTGCATCACTGTTTTCCTCGAGACTGGCCCTTCACGCACAGGGCTTTTTCAGGCCATCGTGGAGTGGCGGACGCCAGCGGAGGGCAGCGCTGGAGGGTGTGTAATCCGGGCTGTGTCAGGCTCTCTCGCTCTCGATTATGAGTTCTTCCACTAGTTTTATGCCATCAAACACAGATCTGAACACTTCTTTCCTACCTCTCAAACACTTCAAAGACTTTTAGAATTACATCGAAATTCTTAAACATGACTTCTTTCATAATCAAGATCTGAATTACCCACAAAGTTGACCTCTCATCTCCTCTGCCCTCAAATGTAATGTCCTTCCTCAGTTACAGACATTTGTCTAAATAATTTTTCCTTCCTGTCTCAAGATAACTTCCATGATGTCCTCTTAAGCACCCAACACTGGCTGCCCTCCTGGGTGTCTCTGCAGATGACAGGAATCCAGTAAATACTTAGGACACTCCTACGGCCAAACATTCCACAATTCTGTGCCACTTCTGGTGCATTCTTAAGGATACTTTCTGCATGAGTATCACTTAAAGTCTCTAGATATTATATAATTCTTTTAGTAAAATGGTAGAAGACATTTGAATTTACATATAACAATTGTCCTTTTTATATTTAAAGATTGCTTGTAGTGAAGTGGGGCAAGCTTCTTGCAGTCGGGTCGGTGCAGATGTGTACCCAGGACTCTCTCTGTTTATGGCTGTTGTCCTGCTGTCCTGCTATAATTATCAACAGCTCACACTTTAACTGTCCAAGTGGACCTCGGATACTACAGCCCTCTGCATTCTGCGTATAGATTCCTTTCACATCACCTGAAGCTCAGATTGCTTTGAGTTAGATGTCTCCAATGATAGAATCAGAAAGCAGAAAGATAGCAATGGGGACTCCTGAGAGCTTTTTGTTTTTCCGAGTGTAAAATTTAAGCTGACTAAACTCACATTTCATAGTAAGTAGTTTGCCCTAGGAGGCATCATAATGAAGGAGTTCAGGAACTTTCACCCAGAATATGACTCCTGGGTATTGAGAGTGTTTTGAATTAAGGCCCTTAGAAGGGCATTCCCTCTACCTGCTTAAACCAGACAGACCCATCAAAAAGAGCAATGGACTCCCTTCCCCTCAAAGGTGTTTCAGGGAAAGAAGATCAAAAATGCAACCTGACCGGCCCAGACCATTTTAACGTAACACTTGTCTTAGGGTAATGTACTTTGCTAAGAGAATCATTTATAGGTCCATCTGTCTCCCCCATCCAAACATCCTCCCTAGCAAACATTTATTGCCCCTAAACAAATTACCCCTCTTCCTCATCCTCCCCCCACAAAATGGCGGTGGAGAAGTTTGTGGACCTCACTGGAATATGTGGCAGTGGCTGTGTGATCCTCCCATGCCTCTCTCTAAACCTAAGTGCCTTGTGAGTTGATCTTTCAGCAAGGGGGGAAGGGCAAGTTTCCCCTCATTCCCACAACAGCCATTTCCTTCCACTTCCTTGCCGAGTCACTCATTCCCAACACACTCAGGGCAGAAGTGGATAGGTATGTTGGAGAGGGCACTGGCGTCATGATTTTCTCCTTATATGCAACACTAATAGGACATCAGCGTTGACTTGGGTTATACTAGACTTAAACTCAAAACAGACTTACTGAGAAGTGTGTTCAGATGAGCTCTTTTGTTGCCCTCTCACACTCGTGTGAGCCTCTTTCACACTGATGCCATAGAGTTTGGGGACAATCTTGGCAATGATTTTTTCTTTTCAAAGTTATATTTCTACTTCTATTCAATCAGTTTATTTCTAAATTTATTTATTAGTTTAACACTACATGCTTATCCCAATTTGATGAGTATTTGAATCAAAAAAAAGTCTTTAGTATTAGAAAAATTTTATGACAGTCCCAGTTAAGTGCAATCAAAGGAGACTCTGTCATCTGAAATTTCTTAATTACAAAAATAGTCTTTTGGCATCTCTGCAAAGGTGATATGCCAGATTGCCAAGAAGGACCAGCACATCTATGCTATTTAATTTCACAATGTTAAAATAAAAAGAAATCCTGGCCATCTTGAAGTAATATGAACTTGTGCATGGTAATCTTGATTGTTGAGTCATAAGGAATAGCCAGGCCTCTGAGCAGCTGGACCCCACCGTCAGATGCTCACCTTCTCCGAAATGCCAACACTGTCCACGGTCTCCTATACTCTCCCTGCCTCCCATGTGTATCACTCTTATTTTGTTGACATTTGCTTTAGAAAATCCTGTATACACCTTAATTTCTAGATAAAACATGTATGTCCAAATAGGAAATTACGCATTATTCCTTAACACTAGTGATAAGGAACAAATTACCCAATTTACATTTCAGGCCATACTTTGATAGAGTGGAAAGTGGAGTTTATCTAAGGAATTGATGTCTTTCAAGAGAGGGAAGAGTCTGTCTTCCTTGGGACCAGAGCCCTGACTTGGAAACTATAGCAGCTATGGGGAGGAGGTTAGCAGTTAGATGGGGGTCAGTTGAGCTTTATCATCACTTCCAATTAAAATCATAATAATATTGATGATTTGCAATGCTTTGACTTTGCCACATGTCACTTCATAATCACCAAGGGTAGGGTTTCTTAGATGTGACTGGCTGAGAAGGCACCTTTCCTCCTCCAGTCTGTCTCTCCCAGAGACACCTAACTGTGAGAAGGGCACCTGTCAGTTTTGCACAACAGGTGTTTGTAAGAATTGCCCTCACTGGTAGGAACTTCAAACTTCAAATCCCACCAAGACTGAATTCTAAAATATCAGCTATAATGACTAGCAACACGTTTTCCTTATTTTTATATTGCAGCTGTTGATGTAGAATCATCATAAAAGAACACCTTTTTAACAAAACTGTTTTTGGAGGGAGAAAACATCTCCTCAGTTATGAATGCACACCTTTAGGAAATGAGATATCCTAAATAGATTGACAGAGATCGATTTTAACATTGTTATGTTTTGTTTTACTACATTTGTTTTATTAAAAATTCAAACTTTTTTCCATAAACCAGTTGAATACTAATTTACCTTCCATCACAAAAATGAGGATCTTAAATTAGACATCTAATAACCAATTAAAATGCCGGGAGGAATCCAATGGTATCTCAGCTGTCCTTGAATCAGAGTGCCCACGGCACATCTCTCAAAGCTGACCCGAGCACATTACCTTTGTTGCAGCATCAAAACAGATGAACCCGGTGCTGAAGTCGATCGTGAGTCCCATCAGATGGCTCTCCAGCACACATGCGTAGGTCTTGCACTAGACAGAACAGAATGCGCTGTTACTTTTCAAATGATTAATGGCTTGTCAATATCAAAGACTGTGACAGCTCCTGCAATAAGCATTTCATACAAAATCTAACTTAATATTAGGAATAATTGTGTGAATAAGGCAGTACTATCAACATCCCAATGCTAATGAGACAGAAGCTGAGAGCACTGCTTTTTGTTGGGTTTTTCTGACTTGTCAAAGGGCACACGGGGACAGGTTTCCGATCCTGCTCTGTCTAACTTTGTCTTTACATTGTCCCACCCTCTCTCTTTGCTACATCGACAATGAAACTAGTATAAAAATATTTAGGTATGAGCAAGATTGTTAAGTTGCTATATCATATAGCCAATATCACCGTATTTCATGAAACCAAGAGAAACCATGTCTAAAGATTAATGCTGTAGTTAAATTTTCAGCATATCAATTCCATGGATATTATTAAAGGAGACTCCCAGGCACAGAAATGCAGATTGGTAACAGAGGCAAAAGGAGATACCTTCATCTTAGGAGTCTCTAGATGTTCTTCCACATGGCACAAGCTATTTTCCAAAGATGTTTACCACTTGCCTGCTTATTTGTATAAAACTACTAATTCTTTACAAATCAACAACTGATGACTTTTCACACTGAGATCAGATTATAACTTTACTTATATGTAATAAACATTTTGTGATGCCTAATAAATTTGAACACTGAAATATAAAAAAGAGAATATTAACCAAATATGAAATAAAAACTTGGGGCTTATATACAACATGATACATTGTTATATCTATAGGCTAGTTTTATTTGCATTTAATTTCAAACAATAGTGAGAGTCAAATGATGAAAAGTACTTGTGATTTACATACAAGGTGAGAGATATTTATCCATCTTAAGCAAATCTTTCATGCTTATGTTTATATTGTTTTTATTTTTACAACACTGCATATAAAATATATTGATTGAATCACAGTCAAACTGCAATCATAATTAAATGCATCAAGTTGCCTTCACCAAAAAGCCATATTCATGAGTTTAAGCCTAGTTTGCATAAGAACATTATAACAATACTGAATTATCCACTTTGAGTTAAATTTTTCCAAAAAGCAGTCTAGAGAACATACTTAATGTGCCTCAAAAGTCCACTTTGAAGAGCAGTTATATTTGTTTAACACAGAACATCTTGTATGCTTGCATCCACTCATCAGTACTTTATTAAAACTATTATCAGCATTAAGGAATGTTCAAAGCTATATAATTTCATTCTAATTTACACTTAATTGTTTGCTGTTTTCAAATCTGAAAATGCCAGGCTATAATGCATTTAGTAGAATGCGTTAAATTTTTCCTATTAAGTTCATCATTACATCATGTGTATGAGGAAACAGTAGCCAACTCCGTGTTAAGTAATATTTCACAAAGTAACTAAGCTGTACTCTTCATGAAGTCAAGGTCATGAAAGACAGACAAAGGAAGTATTCCAGATTAAAAGAAACTGAAGAAACCAGACAACATAATCTTAAATTGGATCCTAGTCTAGAAAACATAAATTTTCCCTTTTGCTGTAAAGGATACAATAGGTCAATTGATGAAGTGAGAACAAGGTCTGTAGATCAGATAACAACACCGTACCAAATCCATGGTGTTGCTTTGAGGCATTAACATTAACTCTGGTCGCTTGGTTCAGGCAGTGTTTCTCAGGGTTCTTCACTATAAAATTTGTCCCTTTGTTTTTTCCCTTTGTAATTAAAAACATTTTGTGCATATATCTGGGGGTACTTTGAGATGATGTAGAAATTCTTATTCTTATTAAATATTTATCCTCTAGTAGCAGCATAAAAAAAAGAGTTAAGCATTACAAACTAATGCAGAACTATAAACTAATTCAGATTACAAACTAAATTAGATTTGTCAATAATAATTAAATTGAAACCAACAGATATGTTATAAATTGAGACCCACTGAAGTTTAATTCTATAATTTATAATCTGAATCATGAAAATACTTAATATATGTTTAATATTGGAAAATATTTGGTTTAGTATTTAATTTCTGTTTAATAAAATAGAAAGAGAAAAAATTTCTGTTTAATAAAGAGAAAAAAGTAATAAATTAGAATTATTCTTTTGGGGGAAATTCAAATGAGAAACACTTTGAAATTCAATTTGCTAATTTTCTTTCTGACTCTTTCACAATAGAACTATGGTCCTTTCTTATTTAATTATCTACTAATTTTAATGGCAGTAAAATATTGAGAATATAGAAGAAAAATGTGTAAGGTTCTTCATGTCAATATATTCACACCTTGAATTTTAAAAATAACATTACCAAAGTGTTTGGCTATTGATTACTGATTTCTAGTATACTAAATTAAAAATTATAAAATCAGTAGAATTAAAAGTTAAAAGGGCATCAAATATTTTACTGTTCACTTCCAACATGTTTCTTAAATTGGCATTGTGAGTAAATAGATAGTCCAATGCATTTTGCTGAACATCAGTGTAGAGAACACAAAGTTCAGAATCAAAAAACAGAATTAAAATACAAAGCACAAATGGAATTTCATCTCTATTTCATTAAACATCAGGAATCTTACATAGAAACATCAGGGATCAAAATGTAGAAACTGCCATGCAGTTGTTTCTACACGAATTAGAATATTCTAGCAAAACACGAATTAAGAAAACCTATAACAAATATGTCAACTATCGTTCAATTGTTATATTGCATTACTTTAAAATGGTCATAGACATTGACACTTGGGAAAATCAATATTTAAGATAGTTTCCATCTTTCCATTTTTGATATTAGTGTATTTTATTGAATGAGGTTTCTATAAGCTAAATTATAAAAAATATATTTTAACTACTTTAACTTTTTTTGGATATATGAAGATAAAAGCAGAGTTATTAAACAGTGTCCACTGAACAATGAAACAACTGAAATCTGGGTCTTCTCCTTGTCCTTGTCACCAGTTGTAACATCACACTGGTGCAACTTGATGTCTTGCCTAGAGAGGTTTGGAGTCAAAGGAAGAAATAAGTTTGCCATGTTGAAAAAACTGTAACCTCCGAATCTCCATGATTGTCAAATATATTATTATATTTGTTTTCAACATTAAGTGCCCCTGTGTGTGTTTAAGCTCCTACCCTGTGAATCATTTGCATGTGACAAGCTCACCACACCTGTCAGTTTTCCCTTAAGGCTATCAGAGTTCAGCCAGAGAACTGAGTTTGGGAGCCTGTCAGATTCCATGGTCTCATGCATCACAGAAGCTGAGGGCTCTTTGGAGTTTGATCTAGATGTGGCTTCTCACTTAAATAATCTGTTGGACACTTGTGATTTGCAGAATGCAGTGAATCCCAAGCCCCCTCTGACTTAGTGCAAGGAATGGCAAGCACAGGTCGGTCGTTCCAATACGAGCCCCAGTGAGTGTCTGAGCAGCCCTGAGAAACAGCGAAGTGACCGTGTGCTCAACCGTGGGAAGAGGAAAGGATGTGAGGATGGTTGTGAAAGGGGCAGTGGGAATCGGTGGGCAGGGCACTTGGATATCAGGAGCAACGTGTTCGTGGATGATAAGAACTTTTGAAAAAATCTCAAACACTGTATTTTTGAAGGGCAGAAACAAAGGGAAGACTTTCTAGGAGAAAGAGCATTAAGAGTGAACAAAGCTGGCAGGTTGGAAATTAAGTAGTCCTGTTTGGAGAGTAGAAAATGACCTTGTAAACAATTAAAATCAGAGTATTTTGTATATTAGATTTAAACTAAAGTGGTGTCCAATTAGAATATAGTTTTGATGAATAGTAGGAAATGGCCTACAAAGATCAAATTATGGAAACATTAAAATTAATTAAATTAATTAAAATTCAAAGCTGTATTACTAGTCATTTAACAACAATGGCTAATCATGGAAGATACAGAGGGTGCCAAAAAATGTGTATACATTTTAAGAAGTAAAAATACCTGTATTAAAATTGCAATACGCAATATATAGTGACAAGTTCTGTTATCTTATATATTATATCTTGAATCTCTTGTAATTGCAGAAGTCAAATGTGACTTGAATATTACAATCTTACTACATTTTGCCCTTCTTACAATGGATGCTCATTTTTCTGCACCATCTTGTATTTGAGAAGGACGTCAGGGCTCACAGAACTGTGTCTTCATACCACTTTGGTTTCTATTAGAACTCTAATGCAGTGGTCACGTATCTTTGGGAGTCACAGATGTTAGAGCCACACAGACCCTCACCTGTATCCGTTCCACTTCTAGAAAAGTTGCTGTTTGGAAGGCTCTTTCCCACTGGGCAAGGTCAGAGTCTAGTTCCACAGAAAAGTAGAGGTCCTCCCCCGACTCGGACTGCACAGTGAAGCAATGTTTCCGCCGGTCCAGCAGGTCACTGTCCTGGTGAAAACCTGGAGTTACAAAGGCTGACACACATCCATCCCTGTGCATTGCTAACACCGCTATTTCTAACTGGAGCAAGGAGTGGATGCCACAGTAAAAAAGTTAACAAACTATGAATCACTGGTCTTCATCAAAAATGGTTACAGCAGTCAAGACTCCAGGCCTCAGAGTCCAGAGCTAGCACATCACTTCTCTGTCTTCACGCTGGAGCATGCTCATGAAATAGAAGTTAGAATCTCTGGCTTCAACAGTTCTGCCTAGCAACACAACTACCAAAGCGTTGAACATAGGAGACTCAGCTTATTATAGTACGAAGCAGTGACACACAATCTCTGCTCTTCCTTACAGAGCTGTCAAGATGTTGAAATTAAATAATTCTTGTGAATGTGTTTGCAAATTTTAAAAAGCGTTATAAGTACCCTAGGTTTTAATTGAACTGATTTCTGAAGCACTTAAAGAATCATCAAAACAGTTTTCTCTGAGAGAAATACAAAGGAAATGATTCTAACTTAGCTACAGCAATTATGCTGCTTTAAAAAAAGCACATTTACCTTTCTTTGTAACTCTATTTCAGTGGGTCAGAAAGACTCTGACATGGACAAATTCTGGGACTTACCAGAAGCTTTTAACTAAAAGATTCACAAACGTATGTGCACTCTAGTAGATGTTAAAATGAGAAGAAAATGCAATAAGAATTTATGAAATGGGATAACCTTGTGTCGTATGTGAGATATGGCCTTTGAAACATGGCCCTGCACTGCCTGTGGATGTTTGGTCCCCCACTGACTCGACGAACAATGGTGGCCCCACAGGATTATAATGCAGGTGAAAATTTCTATCTCCAGGTGACACAGTAACCATCCTAATATTGCAGTAAAAAGCATTACTCAGGTATCTGTGTTGATACAACTATTGCACAACAGTCATATGAAAGTGTAGCACATACAACTGCAAGATACAGTACATTATACTTGATAACGATAACAAGTGACTGTGTTACTGTTTTATATA